AGCATTTTGAGGGCAGGGGTTGTTTTAGCTTTTCTTTGTATCCCGAATCTGACATAATAAATAATCAATGCTTGCTGACTGACTGATCAGTCTTGTGAATGTTTCAAGTCAAGTAGCTCTTCCGTTCTTTTCCCCATCACTGGTTATCACCACCACCACTGCCTCTAAGAATCAGGTATGTCGCCCTTTGGGGAGACCCCCATTGCCATGAACAATGATCCTGGGGCCTCTTCAGGGTGGTGAGACTGGGGGAAAAGGTCAGGTCAGAATCCTCTCTAAGTTAAATACTGACTCTTTCCTTTTAGTTTCCTTATCTGCTCCAGGATGTTTGCAAGGTAAATGCCTCCTCCCTCCCTTCAGAAGCAGGTGTGAAGAAAAAGTAAAAGAGAGAAAGAAAGAAGAAAATGAGAGAGAAAAATGGTGATGATGGAAGTGAGCATTGATGTCCTCTCTCTCTTAATTTCAGGGACTTCTCTGGAGCACTACTAGTACCACTAGTTACTTGCCCCTGTTCTAAGCAGGGACTGGTGGGGGCAGCTCTCTTGTTTCTATAACTGTCTGTTCTACTGCTCCTCACAGTTGGCATCACCCATCTGGCCACCTATATTTATCTCTATTTACTATAGAGTTCTGAGTCCAGGGTTCAAGGAACAGACTCCAGTTAATTCTTGAGCTTCATCGAACTGATCACTGGTTTCTATGTGGCCATTAGAAAGCCAATTATTATGTTGGTTATTTCTTTCTCAAGTCCACCCCCAAGCCTTGGGTGGAAGAAAGTAAAAGACTTTCTGTAATCAGTGATGGATATACCAGGGAAATATCTCCTAGTCTTACAGGATGATGTTTCAGAAAGCAGAGGTGGAAGTAGGAGGTTAGGTGAGATAATGAGAAAAGTATAGTTTGGTCTCAAATGAGAAGGTGGGGTGACTTGAGCCCCAAAAGGTTTGGGATTATCTGAATGTGAAGACACAATGCTATTGTAAGGGTAAAATAGAAGCACTCAGTTTTCTTAGATAGAATCATTTCTATTTTATTCTCTTCAGCAGCTTGAGAATGAAGTGAGGCTGTCTGGGGGAGTGGGTAGGAAGGCACAGATAGCCACAGTCTTAGGGCATCCATCTGTGAGCACTGCCAAGGTGGAGGAATGCCAGGTGTTCAGTTTCTAGTTTAAACTGTGAATAAAAAGAAGAGACAACAGTCAAAACCAAGACCCTCTTCTCTTTAAACAAGGACATAAGCCTATTGGAACCTGGGGAATAGTTCATCAAGCCCTTCTGTCAGAGGGCTCTGGTTTTGTTTTTCCTTAGTTTTTGTCTGTTTGTTTGTTTGTCAAGCCTGAGAGAATCAGAGATGAGAACACGGTCTAGAAGAACTTCCCTGGCACAGAGATGAGAAGTAATGGAATGAATATCTTTATAGCAATGCAAATGTGGTTGTTGTTCAGCTGTTTTCAGTCATGTCCCATTCTTCATGACCCCATTTGGAATTTTCTTGGCCAAGATACTGGAGCTGTTTGCCATTTCATTCTCCAGTTCATTTTACAGATGAAGAAACTGAGGCAAACAAGGTTAAGTGACTTATCCAGGGTCATACAGCTAGGAAGTGCCTGAGACTAGATTTGAACTCATGAAGAGGAGTCTTCCCAACTCCAGGCTTGGCACTGTATGTACTATTGCACCACCTAGAAGCCCAACAATGCAAATACCCAAATGTATTTGTATATCATTCCTCCAATCTTGTACTGTCATAGAATATCAGAACCCAAAATGATCTTTGAAGATATCGAGTCTAAATTCCTCATTTTATACAAAGAAATTTAGTTTGAGAGGGACATGACTTGACCAAATTTACACAGCTAGTACTCAACAAAGTTGGAATTTGAATTCAGGTCTTCTGACTCAAAGTCCAGAGCCCTTCCCACTTCACATAATTACCTCGAATGGGCAACTATTCCTTTGCTTTTCCAATACCTTTACTGGCAGAGTCCAGTGTCTTCTTGATTGCCTGGAGGAGTGGAAATGGACCCTTTTTGCAGAATTCACCAGTAAAGTCATCCAAGTCAATGGACCAAATCATGGCCCCTCCCAATCTTGAGTTCTTCAAATACTGGACCTGAAGGAAATATACAGGGATGTGGCAGGGAGGCTGAAAAGAGCACCTAATGGTCCTCCTAGGTCTCTGGGAATGACTCAACATTAGACTCTGGTTCAGATAAGGGAATGGCTTAATTTAGCAGCAAACATTTAGATTAGAGAGAGAAAAGAACTTCCTGGTAGGACTGGGAAACTGACGGAGCCCACAGACCCAACATTCTTAGAAGACAGGGTAAAGACCTTCATTTCTTTCCCTCACTTTCTCCCCTACACACCAATGCTCCATGGAATAATTGAGCAGACACAGACACCAGGATTCCCAGGGTGTCTGAAAGTACTTAGGACTCTGGGACCATAGCAAGGGGACTGCTTCAATTACAGTGGCCTTGGAGATGACCAGATGGGTGATGCCAACCATGCTTTCTTCTCCTTCCTTCTTTGCTTTCTTCCTCCATTCCTTGCATCTTTGCTTGCTTGTTTCTTTCTTCCTTGCTTTCTTCCTTTCTTTCTTTTTTCCCTCTTTCCTTCCTTCCTTTTTTCTTCTTTTCTTTGTCTTTGTTCCTTTTTTTGCTTCTTTCCTTTCTTCTTTGCTTCCTTCTTTTTCTTTCTTTTCTTCTTTCCTGCCTTCCTTCTTTCCTTTTTTTGATTTCTTGCATCTTTGCTCCCTTTCGTCTTTGTTACCTTCCTTTGCTTCCTTTCTGCTTCCCTTCCTTCTTTTTTTCCTTCTTTCTTTCCCTCTTTCTTCCTCCCTTGCTCTGCTCTTCTCTTTCTTCTTTTCCTTCCCCGCTTTCAATCTTCTATGCCTGAGGTCCTCAGAAGATTTTTTAGCCCCACTATTGACCTTAGCCTAAAGAAACCACTGGAACTTCATCCTAGAGCCACCCTGGAGGCTTTTATGCCTCCTTTCTTTGTGTGCTGAGTGTAGCCAGGGTTCTTTCATTGTTTCCATCACCTTGGTCACACTTACCTTGGTCTCCACACTCTCCACATCATCAAAGCCGACCCATTGGTTGCCCTTGACGGCATAGGATACCTGCTGTTCTGGGATTTTTTTGACTGTGGCACCTTGTATGAACTGGCATACCTAAGAGAATGAGGAGGAGGTAGGAAAAGGGTGGAGAAAGCAGTTAGCCCTGGAATCTTCTAAGGCAGAGATGTTTAGCCTAGTGTCCACAGACAGTCACTGGATAGATTTCAGGGAGATCTGTGGATTTGTTTTGTTTTAATATTTTGATAATTGGTTTCCTTCATCATCTGATGTATTTCATTTTATGCATTTATGTTATTTTGAGAAGGAACCTCAAGGCTTCACCAGACTCCCAAAGGACCCATGACGCAAAAAAGGCTAAGAGACTCTGTTCTGGAACATTGCCCTATACCTAAGCAAGGACACCTGGCTATAGAATTCCCAAAAAGGGGCCACCTGAAGTTGGCTAGCAAAGGAGATCCTTCCAAGACCATTAATTCTATTTTTTGAATGGGCTCTCCTGTTAAGTTTTCCCTTGTAGCCACTGAAATCTGAATCAACAGCTTCTACCCATAGCTCCTAGTTCAACCCTCTGAGTCTGAACAGAATCAGTCATGTTCTGTCTTCCCAGCAATACCAGAAGGTCAGAGAAGGCAAGGATTGTCTTATTCATCCTTGTGGCAAGTACCATGACTTATACCTAGTAGGTTCTCAATGTTTATTCAATGATTGATTCATTGACCTCCAGAGTCATCTCCACTTTTTTGTACATATTCTAGGGAAGATTGAAAGGTAGCAAGGGACTCCCTCCTCCCGCTCCCATCAACAAACCAGCATAGATTACCAATGGCCTGAGCCTTGGAGCTCACTAAGTAG